TTGAGTTGCAAGTTGGAAAATGCGAGAAATGCGAGTTGCGAGTTGGATAATGAGAGTTCGCAACTTGCATTTTCCAACTCAACTCGCATTTTCCAATTTGCAACTCGCACAAAAGAAACCCTCGTTTTAATATCAGATTATAATGTAAAGTAGTTAGATTTATAAAGCGCTTACACCGAAACGGTCTCAAAGCGCCTGAGGTGTGGACTGGCTCTTACAGTAACTTGCTTCTCCTCTAAAGCTCAAAATCCGGAAGTCACCCCGATTCATCTGCATCGCAATGGGCAAAGTTGAACCAGGTTCCACCTTCATGACAACTGTCCGTGGCTTTTGCCGATAGGGTGAGCGATTCTATGGAAACGAAACTTCAAGGTTTCTTCATGTCTCAGCTACCCAGTAAAACGGTACCAGCTACTCTTGTCTGTCCACAGCAGAGCCTGTAAGAACCAGTACACCGGGGTAACACCCTACTTGTGTTGAAAGATGTACTGGGTTCTTCAAAAGTGCACATGAGCCAAATTATGTACTCTAGGCCTATCCTTATCTGAGAACTTGTTCCACCACCAGAACCATAGGAAAACGTGCTGTTCGAACCAACGCTGATATTATAGTTGTAGGCTACGTTGCGGTGACCCTGCCTTAACCGCTCGGTCATCCAACTTGCCAATATTTGTTTGATCAGCTTATTGTAAATGTCAAGTTCCCTTACTCTGCCCTGTTCTTTGTCTACTATGTAATGCCTATGAAAAGGCATTTTACCTATTCATGTTTCTTCACACAGTTAACGCAGCAGCTCCCAAGCTCTGTAATGAACCACTGTTATGAATTAGGCATTGAATTGCAATTTTGAATGATGTTTAATTTTGACTGAATCTGAATTGAAGAATATAATATTATGTTAACATGTTCGCTGCTAGGGATGAGAATTCACGTCAGAAATGTGACCTTGGGGAGCAAATGGGACAACCTTTCCATATGAATTTAAAGACAATCGAATCCTTAGACAAGACACTTTATCCTTTACCTCTGTTTTCACCAAGGATTATAATACTAATATTAGATACCATGTTGTACAGTACGTTTGAATGCCCATGAACTGACTATTACTAGCTTCATATTATGGAATCCTGGGGGAGCGAAGTACAGTGTAGTATTTCTTACGTAGATGTTGATCCAATGACAGGGGTAATAATATATTCAGCAGAGACCTTGGGATTATGCTCTATAATAAAAGTACTGAAAATTTAATTTTAATACTGTTAATATTCAACTTTCCATGTATTATGACCCTGACTCAGATATATCGGGATGGTGTCTTGTAGGGGAAAGCTTATTACCATAGAAATTAAGAGTTTTTAGTTAATTCATACAATCCATGTATATTCCGACCTGGAACCTGCAGATAGTTTTCCATACTTCAAAGCACCTAGTGCGACCTGTGATCCTCTATGCGCAATATAAATGCAGTACAGTATTATACTTTTTATGTCTAAAAATAAAAGTGAATGAATTAATTGAATATTATAAATGAAATAGAGTTAGTGACTATATGACTATATTTGTGAGGTGGTCACCACGAAATGACACACATCGTTGGTGAAATCATATTGAGATATTCACCAAAACAGGCCAAAGTCAACATTTTTACAAAATTTTGATTTTAATGTTTTTGAATAACTTGATACTTATATTTTATGATTGTATAACTTTGTAAGTAAATTTTCTTGCCAAAACAGTATTCTCTGCACATATTCTGTAATTCTCATCATTATTTGTACAGGTTAGTTTATCTTTGAGGCCGATTTTCTCAAAACATGGTTCTATACACCTAAACTTTAAATACTCACATCTCTGGATTTACTTATAGTAGGGAAGCCATTCAAAGACCAAATGAAAGCTTATGATATACCCAAATATAATATTAACTCATTTTTTGAATTTCTAACCGTTAGACTCATTTTGTGGCGAGAACTCACATTTATTCAAAATATTACATCAATGCTTGCAGACAACTTGAATGTATTTAATAATGAGTGTCTAGAATCAGTTGAGTGATGGAATTCTTCAGACATTACTTTAATAACAGCACAATTTATAATCCAGACAGATCAATACTATACTGCAGAATTTCATTGTAAAACTAATGTAAATTGTACAATATTGGCATTATGAAGT